ACCACAAAGGCTATCTTTGACTCAATCATTCAAATAAATCACACTTTACTAAATATTTACTAACATCAGTAACATATCTGCAAAAGTGCAGAAACAAAGGAAGATAATTTTTAAAATGAGTTATAAATAAATCATTAAAACTTGCAAGCATCAAGAGCAAGTTTGATCAGCTATTAAAGACACACTAAAGGAGTAAAAAATGGTACATTCTTTTTTTTTTTTTGGTACAAAAATGATACATTCTAGATATTAAATGAAATACATAGCTTAATGTGGTGTAAAATCGAAAATTCAGGGTCCAAGAGAAAAGAAATTTTCTTGATCGATTAGAACTAAGGGGGAGAAAAATAAGGGAAAATAAATGCAAAAGATACTCAAGAAATGGTTGTGGTAGTAGGAAATAAATACATAAAAAGAAGCAGTGGCAGCATAAGTTAAATATGAAGAACAAATTGATCATTATAAGAAAGTGGCTAAAGTGCAAATTTTATAAAAGTAGGATGGCTTTTTTGGTGTTTTGGCCTTTACTTAGAATGGCTCAATTTATTTGTTGCTTGTTCTACTAGCTATTTGCATCCTCAAATTTTGCAATAGCGTAAATAGTGAAAAGCAAAAAACATATTTCACTAAAAATTAGCAAATGTCCAAACGTTAACTCCATAGTTCAATATACAAGTAAAATCAAACTTTTTTATGGCCTTTAAAATAAAGTTTTTAATTTACAATCTTCTGAAATATTGTATCCAAATCCAGTTTTTATCTTTTTTTTTTTCTTGCAAAAGCCTAAAGGAAGTAGCAAAATCAACAATCAAATGGAGGATAAAATAGACTCCAAGAAATAAACATACACATGTATAACTATAAGCACCTAAAACAAATTAAAAGATTATAAGAATCATTCTAGGATGGGAATCTATAGAAGTTATAATCCTCTGCCTTAACATAGCAACAACCACCTCATACAATAAAACCTAAATCAGTAAACCTATGATTACATGCACATACAATTTTGTACACTTTATTAGCAATTGGCTTTTTCTCTGCTCAAAATCCTTGAGATTTTCCTTGATTTGAAATGGGTGTTGTAAAACATTTATCTAATTGAGAAGCTAGCCTTATCCATGAAGAAACAGATAACAAAAGGAATCATATTAAGTATTTATTTCTAAAAAAAAATGTAATTAAAACAGGAGCAGAAACCATATATGATAATTTGAAAAGAAAAGCATCAATCACTTCAAGCACTACTTCTAACTAATTTAACCACTGCCACATATAAAGCTTTCAATCAAATTTATCTTCCAACTTTCCATCAATTGAAAAGGATCCCATCATTGAAATTGTTTTTCTTCTAAACGTTAAAAAGGGCACCAACTAATTGCCGTGCTAAACAACATAAATAGCAAAATAAATGGTAGGAGAGGAACTTTCTAAACTAACACTCACCACGTCCCTGCAGCAATCGCCTTACAGCTTGCAATGAACCTCCCAAACATAATGCCGTAGGAAATGTTTTCTTGCAGTCCTACAAAAAGCAAATACATAAATGATTTTCACAAATACAATATTCCAAGGAACCTCCTCTTACTTGCTGCTTTTGCTACTTGCTTTTTGTTTATTCTTTTTATTACTTCTTTAAAAGTTGCTAAAAGGAAAAGGCAAATGATAGAAAATAAAATCATAATTAATTAAAAGGAACAGCAAAAATAAATTGAACACCAATTCTAATATGATTTTTCTATATAAAGGTAAAATTATGCATTTTCAATAGAAAAACTTATGCCACTAAATTTATATCACTAACAATAGAAGAAACTCTAGGAAATAAAATGGTAACTAAAGCAAAGCGGATAACAACCTCCAAACGATCTAATAGATTCTCAGCTACAGCATGTACGAAGGAATCATTGGGACGCAGCAACCACGCAGCTCGATCACGCTGCCACCCAAAATATCAATCATCACTTATTGATTAATTAACAATTACTAGACTCATATAATATAAAAATGCTACTACTTGTTTGCGTTTGAGGTGGCGGTCGAATATCTTGACTTTTGAAGGGTTGCTTTGAAAGGCGTCGCCATTTTCATAGTCTGCAGTAGAGAAGGAAGCGGATGATAGGAAGTAGGGTTTGGTTGTTGGTCTTGTTTTCCTTCTCCACAAGGAACAACTCGTTTCATAGAGAAGAGAGCTCTTCATTCTTCTTCTTTCGTATCAATGTGTTGTGACTAAGAAAAGGAAACCAAAATTGATTAATTTACGTTTTACATCCTTATTTTTCCTTCTGCTTCTAGAATCCTTAATTAAAATGATGACTTAATTAATCCTACTCTATTTATCTCTCTCAGACATTTTGTCGAACAATGAGTACGCAATATTAATGTAAAAGGGTGAGAACCCCTACGTGATAAATGACGGCAGACAAGTGCTTGAAGGCGGAGCGCCCAAGCCTTGAAAAATGAGACGGTGGGCGGCTCTGCGTTAACTAACTCACGAATCCGAGGGAGACCAAATTGGAGAAGTGAAAGTGAAACTACAGTCTACAAAGCTCTATTAATCTGCCTTCAGAAATTGGCGTCGATTCGGACACATTTGAGTAGGGTATAATTTGGTTTGGTTTTCAAATAAAAATAAATTTTTTTTTGGATAAAGAGGAAAAAAAGAACTTAAATTATAATTAAAAAATTATTTAAAATTTGACGGTGACTAAATATACCCCATTTTCTTTTTGTCAAATCTCAGTTTTTTTAATATTTTTTAAGGAAAATTATTTAATCATTCTTTCTCTTTCACATGAGTTTCTAAAAATAAATTTTCAAAAAATCAAACTTTTTGAAAAATAAATTTTTAGAAAGTCACCCAAAAAGTTTATTACTTTATGAAAATCTATTTTTAGAAGGTGAGGTAGTGAAAATTTAAGAAAAATTAAAAAAATTATTAAAATTTTTTATTAATTAATGTAATAAAAGATTATTAAAAATTTTGATTCTAAAAAAATTATTAAAAATTTTATGAAATTTTAATTAAATATTTCGTCTTTTAATATTATAAGATATGATGAAAAAATTATTAAATTTGATCAATATCTAAAAATTGAAACTCTTAAAAATTATACAAATAATATTATTTAATACTACATAATTTTATCAAAATCTAATATACTAATAAAAAATATCAATTGTGATAAGTAAATGGAGAAATTTCTTCAAAAAATTCAGTTTAGTTAAAACTATTATAAAATTTTAATAACTGATACCAAGAAAAAAATATTGATTAAAAAATATGCATTTTAAATTTATAAAAAAAATTAAAATAATAAAATTAATTTTTTATTAATTTTAAATTTTATAATTTTTTAATAATTATTTTTTTATTACATCAACTAATAAAATTTTCTAAAAAAATCTTAAATTTTCACTATCACATTTTTTAAAATAGATTTTCAGAAAATCATATAACTTGTCAAAAATCTATTTTCAATAAAATTTATGATTTTCTAGAAATTTATTTCCAAAAAATTACATGAATTTTCAAAAATTCATTTCCAAAGTTATAAAATTTTAAAAAGTTGTAAGAAAAATAATTAAATAATTTCACTTATAAAAAATTTAAAATAAAAATTGGAGTGAGAAAAGAAAAGATTAGGTACATTTAGTCCCTCTCTAAACTTTTAATATTTTATTACAATCAATCAAAATTTTAATTTTTTATTTCGATTCAATTAAATTTTAAATGGATGAAATTTAATCAAACGTCAAAATTTAATCAATTAATTAATTTATATATATATATATGTATATTAATTGCCACATATGATACTTTCATTTATTTTGATGTCACATGAAATTTTATTTTAATTAATAAAAAAATCCATGGTGTTATTTTTTTTATCTAAAGAAAATCTTAATTAGATGTAAATAATAAATATTTGAAAGATTGATTTATTGCAATAAAAAAATAAAAATTTAAATGATTTTTTTTAAAATATAATTGAGCAACTTTTTACATCTTTTAACTCTTTTTTTATGAAATAAACATTAAAATACTATGTAGAGTATATTAAAATAATAAAATACTCTGGGCTAGAGATCCAAAATTGTTAAAAGCAATTTCTTCAGTTAGTAGTAAATTCTTTTTAATTTTAGAAATGGGATATTTTTTATAGAAAATTAAAAATTATCAAGTGAAAAAAGTAAATAAAAATATTTATAAATACATAATGCCTTTTTTTTGGATTGTACTAGTTTCATATGTAAAAGATAAAACAAATTTTTTTTTTCAAAAATAGTAGTGTTTAAGTTCGAATTTAATTCAATTATTTTAGTTAATAAATAATATTATAAATTTATAAAATTATTTAAATTTAAATTAAAAAATTTTTAAATCAATTAATTCAAACTAAATTTTATTGACTTAATTTATCAAATTTTAAAATAATTTGTTATATTTTTAATATATTAAATATATTTAAATATAAAAATATTATTTTTATTTTATAAAAATTTAAAATACATATAAAAACTAATAAATTGATAAATTGATTTAGTTTAAGTATTTTCTTATCTATTTACTTTTCAATTCAAATTTAAATATCCAAATTTAAATAGAATAAAATAAAAATAATCCCAATCAAGTAAAAATTATAATTTCAAATGGGACTTTTTGTTTGTTTAGTTTTTTTTTTTTCTCACCCTCCTTTAAGCACAGGTCTTACAAACTTTGACTAAATGACGTAACTAGCGCGCTCCTCTCATATTTCATGATTTCACCCAATTTCAGGGTTTTTTTTTTTTTATAATGTAAAGCAGCGATGATGTTTAATGAAATTCCAGACTCAAATTTGCTGGACCTAACGGAGAGAGCGGCCTGGCTAACGCCTGACATTATAGAGGCCGTCATTTTTTTCAAATATTAAAAATTTTTTGAATTATTTTATTTTTAAATAAATTTTTATATTTTTATTATGTTTAAATAAGTTTCTATTCTTTGATTTGCATTCAAATAAATCTTTATTTTAAATAAAGAAATGATTTAGAGTAAAACTTATTTAAATATAAATTAACTCCATCAACCTCAAACTGAGTAAGGAACTCTTAAATCTTACCTAAAAATAAAGGGCCATTGATACTCTATTACACGAGTCCAAGAAATACAATTGGGTATAAGGGTGTTATTTTAATATGCTAGCTCATGGAAATCACCAACAACCTTTTAATCTTACTCTTGGTTTACGCAGTTAGAGATCCAGAATTCACCTCTCTTTGCTCAAGTAGTTCTGTAAGAGCAGCATCAATTTGTGCAAACACATTTTCCTTGGCCACATTTCCATTAACCTGAAATGAGCCACCCCGAAAAGTTTGTCATACCTGCCTAAATATGTGCCTGTGAAGTCAGTTTGAATATTCTCTTCAAAAAAATAATTAGAGATAATTAAACTTAATCCACCTGCATGATAATACCTTTACTAATTCCCTTTTGTGTTTTCATTTTTAATTCTCACACATAATTATCCGCAAACATTAATCTTGAAAATGAATTATACATCAAACATGATATTTCATTACAAATATGGATACTGGGTTTGAAACTTCAACATCAACGTAATATAAGCAATCGGATCATCCAAGATTTATGCACGCCACTATAAGTTGATGACTTACAACCACATATTGATGAGATTCAAACTAAAGGCATCATGACTTATGTGTATCGTCAAGCTTGGACAAAGTCTGAATTCTAGTTGCTTTGTGTAGCGAGGAGGTTTTAGATGTTGACTCTTTGCCATCAGAAAGAACAACAGTACCTTCATGAAACTTTTCTGGCAATCCATTGTTATTTAAACTCATATTATCATTGAATTAAAACATCTACTTTCACTAACCATGCCAGTATTCTCACCACCCTAACTCATTCTAGTGCTTAAAGAAGAAACAAGATACAAAAATTCCTAACCTCTTTAATTGTTTGTGTCACAGTATTCCTATAATCACATTACCAGAATATGTGCATGTATGATCGATCTTTGAGTTGAATTTGATTAGGAAGATAAGGAAGGTGGGGTTGATGCTGGCGCAAGGCCATGGCAGGTCAAGAAAAGGAAAAGAGAGAGAGAACTCAAATGATAGAGATCAGAAACAAAAGGCAATAATGGTAGTAGACGTCAATTTTGAGTATCTTAATTAGAAAATTTCAGCAAAGTTTAGTAAAATTTTGAAAAAATTAGAGTTCTAAACCTCCAGAATATAACCAACCAAAAGCACTTTTCTCAATACTCCATAACCGCATCTATGTTAGCAGACTTAAAATGGCTCGGGATTCGCAAATATAATACCCAAGGTGAAGTCAGACAAGTAACTAACCGGTAAGCACATTCAGTTTTTCATTTCTTGCTAACTTAATCTAGACCTGGCAATTCAAAACATGATATGTTGACACGACACAAACGATAAAAAAAAAAAAACACAAAGGGGACATTGTTTAATATTTTAACAAAAACCATGTATGGGTTTAACAAAAACCAAAACTGATATTTCATGTTTTCTGTGCTGACACAAATTACAACATATAATTTTCGTGTAAAATAAGACATGAATACACCAATTGCCAGTGTTTTACTCGACACAAATATGCGAATAAACAAGTCTGGCTTAAACCAAATAAAATAAAGGGAAACCAAACAAGACTTAACTATTATTTGCTTCAGATTTAGTATGGCGTCAATGTTAGAACTATTGAGATATGGCAAACTTCCTTGTTCAGATTTTTCAAAGAAAAGAAAAACAATGAAAACAAATATTCTATAATTCTAACAAAAACATAAAAGAGAACACCCAAAAATTCAAATAAATAGTTTTTAGAATTCATAAAATTGAAAGCTTGTCTCGAAGTCTAACTTGATCTTAATAGACTGGTTCCAACAAAAATAAATAAAACAAACCAAAAATCTGGTCAGATTTTCATCCAAATATGGCTGGGGATCTCTGGTTAAATTTGGCAAGATCATAAAGAAATTCTAGCCTCAAATAAGACGAGAAGAGAAAAAAAAAATGAAAAGAGGAACTAGATTTGCAAACATAAGCTAAAAGTGAGATATTTCAAGGAAGAAGTAGTTATTAAGTGGTTTGATGAGCCTAAGAAGCAGAGATGTCTACCTCTAGCTTTTGGACAAAGGAGTTCAGTTGGGACTTGACAGAAATGAGAATGCTTTTATTAATGATTTGATATTACATATAATTTAATTTTAAAAATTACTTTCAACATTTTATTTTACTGCATGAAGCTTTTCCCTCTTTGATTTTTTGTATCAAAACATTAAAATTTTATCTAAAATTCTTACATTGAAAATAGGAACTTTCCGTTTAATGTCACCGAGCCAATACTCCCCTTTATTTTCCTTCTTTGCCCAGAAAATTTCTCTTACATTAAATATCATCATGTTCACCAGTGTTTCATTTTAGTAAGTTATATTAAAATGTAGGAATTCAGCGTGTTTGGACATTAATGGGTTAGTATTAAACCTGAAACCGAAAAGAGTATGGTTTTCAAGTTACGAATACTAAAATTTGAACCTTTTAATTATAAAGTCAAACCAAACTGCATAAATGATTCAGTTTTTCTTGTTTTATCATCTTTTTCTGCATGACCTAGGCAAGCCTTGATTTAAATCTATTAATGTAACACACAGGGGTATGTGAGCCAGTCATAGAGGGAGAATTTAACATGCCTTGACTGTGATATCTTTATATGTAGAGAGTACAGCTTCCACATTTTGATGATGTGTGTGTAGCCGCAACTTCACCTACAAGATACAATAAGATAATTCAACTTGACAATTTAATAATACTAACAAAATGCTGGGGAGAATTACAAAATGAAGAAGAATCTAAAAAAATTAAAGAAAAAAACATGAGTCTCAAGAATCCAAAAACATATAAATCCCCCACTCAAAGCAATCAAACTAGAAAGAATCAGACATGCCCTTTCTTCAGTATCATCAAAACGTTGAGTAAGCCTGGAAGCAATTTCTTCGCTCTCCGGAGGTGAATATTTCAAGTGGTATATCTTCCCTGTAAGAGGATCTAACCTTCGTCCAACCACTCTCTCAACAAGGTTGTCCTCAGGAACCTGCAAACAAGTTGGGCTTGTTAAACTAGAATGGCAGTGATATGAGCTAAAGGCAGAAAACCCACTCCTTTAGATGCTTATAGTTGAAACTTAAAACTATAAACTAATTTACACATGGCTGAATAGCAGCATGCACTTCAAGTTATTAACCAATTAAAACAGCAATAATACATTCTTACTTCCAACAAAATGAAAATATCAGGATGGATCCCAAAATCCTCAAGAGCAGCAGCTTGTGATGAGCTCCTAGGATATCCATCTAAAAGCCATCCCTTTTCTTGAGAATCTGGTTGCAATAGACGCTCCTTGACCATCTAAGATCAAAACTATAGAATTCATCAATAGGAAAAGCATTCTGTATAAACTGAACAATATCTTCCCTACCATAACAACTATTTCATCAGGAACTAACTCTCCTTTCTCCATGTATTCCTTTGCTCGCTTTCCATTTTCACTAGCTGCAGCAACTTCTACTCTCAGTAAATCTCCAGCAGCAATATGCACCAAACCATACTGAATAAACAAAAATAAAAACTTCAGTCCGCCCATTTTTAATTTTAGTTTTAAAAGAGAGAATCAAGCAGAAATAAAAATTAACATGACATAAAGCCATCATGATTGAAAGAAAGCAACATCTTAAGAAGGTACAAGTGCCATTTGGCCAAGTATTGACAAATAATAACTATGGTAATGCAAACCACTATCCTGGCTTGATCCTCTACCACCATGGCTCCAGAGGATTCAGGATGGTAATTGTATTTAGGACCAAGATGATTTAGCAAAGCAAACAATTCCTACATATAGCTAAAGATTAACACAAAGACAAATTAAGCACTCATTAACTAACACAGTGAACAAATATGTCAAGAAGAGTTAAGATAAATATCAAGATAATCTAAAATTACGTCTTTTTTATAATTGAAATTTTTTATTTCATCAGCCAACGAAAATAGAATGAATCTGCTGTATCAAGACCAAGCAAACATATAAGTGCTGTATAAAGACCAAGCAAACTTATAAGTACAAAACAAAACATATGAATGTACAAAGAACTAAAAAGTTTCTAGTCCCAGATTTTCCAATAATTTTCTGTTCAAAGGCTTAGTTGCATTGATTGGAGAATAATCTGAAATTATGATCTTGATCAAACAAGAATAGCTGTATCTTTAATATACACATCAATAGTAACATGCAACTCCACTCCTTCATTTCACAGCTGGTTTAGGTTTACCATGAAAAAAAATGCCATTCACCTCGTTCTTACACAATTTCAGCAAATCTAACCTCAAATTATAATGCATGCTTGATCTGCTCACACAAAGTACTCTAAAAGACCTTTTTTCTCATGCAAGTCCAGATTAAGTAGCCATTGAAAGGCTAACCCCAAAATCGAAATATTGTTTGCAATATTGGGCATAACACCCGGAGAGCATCCAACTAACTTTTTCAACCCATGATTTCTCCACCCAACAGCAACAACATTCCAAGCCAATGTATGAATCTAACCGTTCCCATGGTTTTGAATCTGTTTTACAAAGAGAGAGAGAGAGCTTACTTTTTGGGTGATGAGCTCACATTGTGTACCTTTACCAGATGCAGGAGCCCCTGATATCATCACTTTCAACGGCACTGCCTTAGCCGATGCCGCAACCTGCAACGTCATTGACACATTAAAAAATATTACTATTAATAAGCAAAAAAAAAAGATTCCAAAGGAAAAATATGTATTGAAAGGAAATTACGTAGAAATTGGGGGCGTTGCGTAATGGGAGCTTCTTAGAACGGGGGTGAGATAGGGTATGATTAGAATGGAGAGCGAAGGAAGAGGTAGCAATGGGTATAAAAGAAGAGCGAGAAAGGAGAAATTGGTTATGGTTAGGGTTAGGGTTATGGAGTTTTGAATTTGGTGAAAAAGACGGAGAGAGGTAAACGCAGTGGTGAGTAATGGCAAAATTTAGGCACGAATTGCTACCCATTTCTCTGCCTCTTTCACTTTCTGTTTTGTAACAACTATGAAGGAGGGTTGGTAGCGGCTATTTTCTCCATCACATGTCTTCAAACAACTGCCACTCGCTCCTCAAATTTTAAATAAATAAATAATAATAAACTCTCACCAATTGTTACCACATAATTTGATATTAGAGCGTTCTAAATGCGTTACAATAAAAATTTTATTTTCCTCATAAATTTTATTCTAAAAATATTTACATATCAAATATCAATTTTAGATTTTAGAAAAAGATAAAAATACTTTTAATATCATATATACCCATTCTTCTTCTTCTTGTCCATTTCTTCTTTCTTCTCCTTCTTTCTTTTTTTTTTCTTTTTGATGCTCATACAATAAACCTCAAATTTTTAAAACAAAAACCCAAATTTTGAAACCTTAGATAAACATTACAAATAGTGTAAGAATAGATTGAAAAATAAGAAATAACAATGAGAGAGAAGAGCTTGACGAGGTATGGAATTGAGCTTGAAATTTTGTAGTTCTTGAAAATTCTTTTCCAAGAATTATAATGTATTCTCGAAAATATATTTTCAGTAATTATGATGCATTTTTAAAATAGATTTTTGAGAATAGACTGTAATTCTTGGAAATGGACTTTTGAGAATACAATGTAATTTTTGAAAATATGTTTTCAAGAAAACATTATACTTCTCGATAACAAATTTTCGAGTATACAATGTAATTGTCGAAAATTCATTTTCGAGAATTATTTTGCATTCTAAAATTTCATTTCTAGAAATACATCATAATTTTTAAAAATTCATTTTTGAGAATACATTGTAATTCTCGAAAATCTATTTTTAAGATTTATGTTGTATTCTCAAGAATGGGATTACTCGAATACAAAATAATTCTAGGAAATCTTTATATTTCTTTTAATAATACTTTTTTAACATATTATGTGATATGTAGATTAATTTGAAAAATGTACTGATAGAGTAGGATCAATCATCACACAATTTATATAGTAGATATAATTGCAACAATTCATTTACTCCAGATGAGGTAAGATTATATTTTTGAGATTTAGTATTATTGGAAGGCATAGAAGTATAGAATATTAGTTTGAATATACGTAACAAATTAAAAATGTTTTACAAGTATTTTATAGTAGAGAAGCTTTAATTTCATAGGCTGGACATGTTGGAAAAGATTAAAGTTTCATCATAGTGATTAAACACTATAAGGTGGAGGCTCAAGGAAATCGAGAATAAAATTGTCATGTGAACGAAGTAGAAAATGTTGACAATTTAAAAATAAAAGCAATATAAAAGAAATGAAACATTAGAGAACAAAAATGAAAAATGTTGTTGCATATTTGAGTTACATGAGATTAAGTTAGTAATGGATGATGAATGAGACATGAAAGTAGTACGTGAAATTCACAATCATTTACCAACACAACAATTAAGGGATATTCATATGCGGGTTAATTAACTAAAAAAGAAAAAATATTAGTTGTTAATATGTTAAACAGTATGGTCAAACCCAGAAACATACTATTCACTATAAAACAACACGATGAGAAAAATGTCAGCACTATAAATATAATTTAAAATGAATGTAAAAAACACAAATATGTTAAAAAAATTGGTAGATTACAAATACAACAACTGATGAAAAAATTGACAGATTGTAAATACCTAGAGTGGCATAGATATGATAAGTCAAACTATTATGTGAAAAACTTGTTTTGGGCTCGTCCTACTAGTGTAGAGTTATTGCAAGCATCCCCATCGATCTTGATTATGGATTGTACTTATAAAACATTAAGTATTGTATGCCACTGCTTGAAATATATATGACTTTCATTGAAATAACATTTTTTGTTGCATTTGTGTACATAGAGGTCGAGTATTTTAAGAATTGCATTTAAGCATTGGATAAATTAAAAGTTTAATGCATGCTGGTAAATTTTCTACTATCATTGTTATTGATAAAGAGTTAGCATTGATAAATGTCATATATGTAGTGTTTTCAAGTACGATCAATTTTCTTTGTAAATTGCATATCAACAAAAATGTGCTTACGAATTGTAAGAAATTTTTTTAGCAAAAAGAGAAATGAGAGACATTTATGTCAGGTCTAAGTGTATTGATATATCCATCTACCTATTATGAGTACAAAAGATATCTAAGCTCATTAGAAATTAATTACCAAACTTATCTAGGTATATTAAAATATGTGAAAGAGCAATGGTGGCAAAGTATAAAGATAGATTTATTGTGGCTTAGACTAATAAAATAATATACTTTGGCAATGATACAACAAATATGTATGATTTATGTTCGTAATATTATTTATGGTTTTTAATGTTTCATAGTAAATCATTAATATACCATTATTATTTCTTTTAGAGCCAATAGTGCACATTCGAAATTAAAGAGGCATCTTGGATTATCATAGAAAAATTTTAAATCATCATAGAAGATAATGAACACATTTATTGAGCTTCAATATACAAAGATCAAGGCTTCATTTGAGCAAAGTGTTACCATTATGGAGTATAATTTCAAGCCTTCATTGTTCAAAGAGTTACGAGGTTTGATATCTACAAGCACATTGAAATAATATTGATGGAGGTCAAGTGAGCTAATCATGTAAGGATTATACACATGCTTGTGGTTGTGTGATCAAAGCATGCATAGATTACCTTGTACTCATGAAGTTGTGAAGCATATAAGAATAGAATGTTCAATTTCCTTATCTAAAGTGCATCTGCATTAGTAGAAATTGGATTTAACGAAAAACGAAGATGATTTAATATCTCATGAATTAATCATCCAGTCCGAGGTTGACGAATCATCAAACATTTCAATGAATGTGATAAGTATAGTAAGTTGGCCATGAAAAGAAAGCTACGAAACTTGGTGATTAGTCCGTAATTGTCTTTATGCCACCATTAGACATGGCTAAGCCAAAAGGTTGCAGAGCATTAAAAACATATACCTCTACATGATGCAACCTATCACACTGGGAGATTATGTTATTAGCTTAGTATAGTACAACATCATTAAGCACGACAAACCCAAAGAAACCAACATAACATATCGCTAAAATTCATGTTCACTAGCATTATAGTAAACATAAAATGCAATATTTGGATAGTTTACTAGTGGAGTTACATTTGTATATACAAAGCATCATTGATGTTGAGGGAGATGGACATTGTGGGTTTTGTGCTATTGTTAGGTTGGTCGAATTGGGATTAGATGTTTGGGTATAGATGCGACAAGATTTAATTAAAGAGCTTAATCAATATTGAGGTGATTATTTGACTTTGTATGGATCCATGGAACGTGTTGAGAAGTTGTTACAAAATTTATTATGTTTCAAAACTTCTACATCATACGATAAATGGATGACATTGCTTAATATGGGTCATTTGATTGCTTCCCGATATAACGTCGTGCTAGTCCACATTAGTCTTAGACAATGCCTGACATATCTCTCTATTAAATCTGTACCACTTGCACCATTGGAGCACATATTAATTATGATTTGATTTATTAATGATTGCCATTTTATGCAGGTATTGTTAATTATGTTGTTAATTACTGTTTATATTTATCTTTTTTTTTTTTAATTTTATGCAGGTGTTACTGGTATTATATAAATAACGTTTTATATTATGCAAGTATTTTTATAGCCATTTTCATCAATACCTCTTATTGCATGCAACTAGCATAAGATTTAGCATAATTGTGCCAGAGGGTGAGAGATTCCATATGTATCTCGCTTTGAGGATTTTAAGTTATTATTTAGTTCAAATTTTGATATGGCCACTCAAAAAACAATAGACATTGATTGATTTTTGTAATGATCCTAAACATTTTGTATTAATGTTTATTATCTATATTTGTTTTGCTTTATATTATGTTTTGAACTTGTTATCCAATGAATGATTATTAAATTTAAGGGTTTAGGTTTATGAACATGCTATCGAATTAACATTGAACAGATAACAAGCTAATGAGTATTCTATAAATATAAGCTAAACATAAACATAACTACATATAAAATAAGTATGTAAGCATAAAATTAGTATCAGTAAAAAATTAATTTTTATATCTAAACACCAATCCCTCTCTTTCGACCTTTTGCCTCGAGATATACAAGTGCTACAAGAAGAGTGAGCTTTACTATCGTCTCAACATGGGGAATAACCAAGCAAGGATAATGATGTGGCTAATACTACTAGTAGTGGGGATGGCACATATGCAAATGGGATGAAGATGCTGATGGACCATACGTGAACAGGTTAGGAATGAGCTTTGTTATCGTCTCCAAAGGTGTAGATGTTGATAAAATTGTGGATGAAACGGGTACAAACAACTTCGATGGTCTAGGCAATTTAAATCCATGAACTGATGATGTAAGAGTCGATGCCAATATAGATTGACTATTGTTGCTAACAACAATATGGCTTGACCCGTCTAATATGGCTTGTACTTAGATAAAGGCATCTCTCTAATAGTCAAAGCTCTGACCAAATCTGCCATCCAAGATATGATCAACAAAAGATAAAGTCACCGAGCTTTGCTACAAAAGTATTAATAATATTATTAGTATTGATATAATATAATTTAAATTAACCAATTAATAAAAAACCTGAAATGATAAAATTTATAACTTACTGAATCATTCATATATGTAGTATGAATCGGTTGAGGTTGGAATCCTGATCGATGTTTTGAATTTTAAATTTAAAGCTGTGAAATAGTTACGAACCAAGCATCGTAATTTGATGAACACTCTCTAAACCTTTAACATTTTCATCTTTGACGCTTAACTAACTCCACTTGCCTATCCCATCGTTTCCAATATTAATCCAAAAAGCTATATATAACATCATATTGGTTGAACAATGTCTTTGTCAAGCATGAGATGGGGCCAATGATTTTCGTAAAATGGTTTGTACAAAGTTGAACTGGTGTAGAATTTTCTCATGGTGATACGACTCTACAATTGCCCCATACTCGATACGTCCAGTAAAAAAGGCAATATCATTCAATGGATGTACCTCTCATGTTATCAACGTTATGAGGCCCAAAACACATCCAATACTGTTAAACCTGTCTAAGCTCTCACGTAAAACAAGCAATGTATTAGTAAAAGTATGAGCCTGTCCATCGTTGAGCATACGATATATCATCTGAGTATGTTAAATCGACGACTGGGCCTAACAATAAAAAAATGCTAATAAATCCATGCCTACATGAAATATATAAGTAATATTTAGTTAGATAATCATATATATGACAAACACAAAATATATCAAATCATTATAATATGTTTTAAATAATTATAAATACATACTTGACAAGTGTCAAATATCTGATGATCTGATGCATGTGTACCTTGCTCGCAATCCCAAGCTACCTATACAAGTAAATGAGGCTAGCCATTCTCCAAGCATACCTCATAGTGACAATGAGGTTATTCAGTAAAGGTAAGTACACTAGTGACACTCTCATCGTGATCTTATTACAAAATAACGTATTCTCTATCAAAATATAGTAGAAAAAACACGAGATAATATTGCAATCGCCTCATCATTTGATGCATTAATGACATGCCTAAATTTCCATGCAACCAAGATAGTCAAACAGTTAGATCCCTTACCTGATTTGGTTTCTTTTAGCATTATCATAAAGAACTCTAAGCAATCTTGACAATAATGTGGTTCCTCTCTTGCATCGTCGACAAATGAGGCATTCTAATCGAGGTCCTCGGATCCGTATATGAAAAAAGGCAAAACACATCATCCAACATGATAGTGATCTCACTGAACGATATATAAATGTGTTCATCTTTGGTTGCCACCTCTCGACAAAAATGGGATACTAATGTTGCACTAGTGTATGATAGGTGCAGTTTGAAAACCATCTGAGAATGCCATATGTTTTTCACAATGAATTTTCGAAAGGCCTCAAGTTTTCTTAAAAATGGATTTTCAGGCTTAAGTCTTCTCGAAAACACATTTTCGAGAAGTTCAAATTCAACCTAATTCTACCATAAATCCTACAACCTATCCCTACATGAATTTCAACCACATTTCAACCAAATTAATCAAACAGAAAGCTAGAAATGTTACCTTTAATAAGTGAAAAACTAAAAAACAAAGCTGATTTAGGGTTAGTTTGATAAATTTAGGGCTTTGATTGGAGAGAAGAAATGAATAGAGAATGAAAATGAAAAAGTAGGAAAGAAAAATATAAAAATGGGTTGTGGGGTATATTTAGTAGAAATAGAAAATTTAAGTTTGAATTTGAGATGTATTTAGTAGTAAGGTATAAAGTGAAAATAAAGGTGTAAATAGAATTTCCCTTTGATATTAATTTTTTTTGTTAATATATAATTTGACACTTATATTATATTACTTTTGAAGATTTGATATTTATAAAAAAAAATTTACAATTAGGTATCAAAATTTTATTTTCATTAATCATTTTTATTATTAATTAATGTTAACTAAATTATTAACATGATAAATATTGATTTATAAAATGTATTACATTTCATGATATTATTGGTTTTTATCATATTAGTTTATCAATAATAAAATTAGTATTTGCAATAAAACATTTAACGAAATAAATTTTAAATATTTTAAAATTTTTTAAGTATTAAATTATGAAAATAATATAATTCAAGAGGTAACTTATACATTAACCCTTTTTTTTTTTTTTTGAGGAGTGATCAGTGTGCTTTGATTAATTGTGATATTATTTGGGATCTTGATAATGTGTGCCACACTTTTATCATTTATGCACTATCTTTATTGGTCTCTTAAAAATGATTAAAAGACTTACCAATTACTATATTAATACAATAATATTATTATAAATAGTTATTATCAATAATCAATAACTATATAGTAAAATTATTCTCCTTTAAAATGTTAAATATTTGACACCTATTTAATATTTAAAATTATTATTTTATCCTTTAAATATTACATAAATGCCACAATACATAAAAAGAAATTCAAATGCAAATTATTACACAAATTTTCATAATTTACAAGAAAAATAAACCAGAACAAAGGGTGAAAGCTAACATAGCAATACAATAAAAAAAAAAAAACACTTGCAAAGTTAATCATGTTAATCATAAGAAAAACACCTAATAGAAAAGCAACACAAGGGAAACAAAAAATATAAAACATCAAGGAAAAAAGAGAGAAAAAATCATAAGGTTCATGTTTAAGGTGTTCTAGAGGGTTTTTGGGCACCAACTTTTGTGAGGTAGAAGGCTTGGACTAAGGGAAAGACACGCTAAAAGATAGAAGTGTTTTAACCAATAAAAATATGGTATTTTAGGTGTTAAAGCCGATGGGTTTAGGATTAAATATGGGCTTTTAGGCATTATTTTTCATAAATCTATTATAATAAAAAGACAGAGGATAAAAAAAAAATTTTTATGTGAATTTTGGAGTATTTTTTGCTTTAGTGACTGATGGCCGACAATAACAAATGATGACCTAATGCGATCGACATTGAAATCTCGAAAATGATGAAAGTCAAAATCTAAAAAATCTAAAATTATGAACTTAGAGGGAAAGACTCTTAAAACTAGAAAGAGAGATAATAAAAGAAAAATGAAGGAAAATGCTTAAAAAAGATAATTTATAGTAATGTTAAAATGGCGTAGTTTTAAAAATAGGTTTGAAAATGATCTGCTCTTGACCTGCATCCTAATTCACGGTTAACCTAACCCAATAGGTTTTCTTTCCTTTTTTTTAATTTTTTATATTTTTATTTTCCTTTTTATTATTTTTATTATTTATTTTTTTACTTACCTATTTGTTTCCTTTTGTACTTATTTAATTTTTAAATTATGAATGAAAATTGAAAATAATTTTGAAAATGTTTAGGAAAAAATAAAATATCAATTTTTTCTAAAAAAAATTTGAAAACCTTTAAGAAAAACTTAAATATCAATTTTTTCTTAAAATAAATTTAAAAATATTTAGAAAAATGTTATAAAAATTTAATAAAAATATAATTGTAATTGAATAATAAAAAAAATCCCATAAAATTAATATTTTAAAAACAATATTTTAAAAAAAAATTCATAGATGAAAATAATTTTGGATCCCTACAAAAAAATATTGGGATAATTCCAAAAATCATTTTCACAAGATGAATAATTATAAATAATTATGAAAGCATAAAATTAAAAGAAAAATTAATAATCAAAGTTTTGAAGTAAAAAACCTCTAAAAATATAAGTTACCATAGATTAATAACAAAAGAATAAACAAAATATATTTTTAAAGATAAATTCTTAGGAGATGATAAAATATTCATATTACATTATATTAATATTCTTTTGAGAAATACTTAAATTCATATTTTTAAAGGGAGAAATATAAACTTTCTTTCAAATAAAAATTCAATTGATTTATAATTTTGAAAAAAAAAATCTAAACATAGTCTATAAACACTATTGTAGTGGTCTCCAGTCATAGGAAGAAACTTAGTAAAAGAGACTTAGTAAAAGAAACTATGAA